CCATTCAGATCACTGTTGTTGCTTATATTTTGTTTATTTCCTTTTTATTATTTTTCATAAAAATCCGGCAAAGCATGGGTTTTCATTTCAGAAGTGATCTATCAAAGCTTTAATCATGCCAAAAAGAAGTCTTCAATGCATTTCTTTAGTTTTTGGCAGTGGTCAGGATTCTTTACTCAGACACGCCTACACTCTGCTATGGAATCTTCTATGTATTATATCTCCTGATTTAGAGCTAGGAGACATCTAATCATTACCCTATGGAGATGTATGGAATGGCAGACATTTAGACTACCACCTATCAAACAGCAGCCTCTCATTAATATAAATGTACTGCAAGAGGTTATCTCCCTTGTGAGATAGAGTTATCTCCCCTGTGACATTTTTATCTCCACTACCCAAACTTTGGTTAGAAATCTATCACTACTCGAGATAGGACACACAAAATCTGGCGTATTCTAGATAGGCAACAATAAACAGAAGGAATTTAATCCTGCCTCCAATGACATGAACTTTCAACCTTTGGAATTTGTTTCGATTTAGTGAATTCATGCTACAGCTTGTGAATTGGCACCTTACTGTTTACTTCAAACAGGCAAGTCTACTGGCATTGCTTAATTAGAAGGTCATGGTCGCTACCTTTAACCTCTGATCCAATCAAACTTCATTATTCAATATATATATTTAAAATTTTCAAAAATCACACCCTAAAGTTTATGACTATTTTGCTGTGTCTCATGAAAATAATTTCTTTCTAACTTAATAAATAATACATGCATATGTTCAAAAATCATAACCTAAAGTTAATTACTATTTTGCTGTGTCTTCTTGGAATATTTTCTTACCAAACTAAATAAAATAATACTTGTATGTTTAAATGTTTGAATATATGTTCGTTTCTGGGTTTTTATTGTGACTGTTCATGCTAAATATATGTATTTTTTTCAAACCGGCTGTTTACATAGGTATTCAGACAAATAATAATGAAACTAATCTATAACCTTCTATTCTACTCTAACCAGCCAGAGTTTTAATTATGTTATCAAATTGTAATACCTTATACTGATAAAAACATCAAAACTGTTTATGAAAAACATTCTGGACCTTAATCCACCGGAAATCTCACATTTATTACATAATTTACAACAGACTTTGTAAGCCTTAAATATTTTTCCATTATCTGTTGGAACCTCTGATGTTTTTATGACCGATTTTAATTTCAAAACACCTACAATCTTATAGAAATGATAACTGGAGCCACAGATCACACGTTTTTTGTTCGCTGACTTCAGTCTTGATTTATTCTACAGTAAATTGCAAAAAAAAATCAAAATAAACCACGTCCAAAAATTAATTTTCCGATAAAAAATAATGCCAGTAATTCTGTATATTGAGATTGATTAGAAGACTCTGATCCCCTCCATTGACAATCTACTCAGCTATAATACCAGGAACAGGGTGCAGACCAATTATCACAACACTGAGGGTATATTCTTATCACCAGATCTATACAAACTCACCACAATTTTATATACCTTTAAAACTGGGATATAAACCTGTTCTAGTTGATGCGAAGGTGTAGATAAATTGTGATAGGTCTACAACACATATTACACAGTTCTTTATAAACCTTGCCCCTATTTGGCCGTACATGCATGAAGATCTGGGTCCACTTAGCATATTCACCTAATATTTTCATTCCACATTAAAAAAAATGTATTTTGTAGCAAAATAATATTTTTGTTATATTCACCATTTCCTTTTATCTCACCGAGATATTTTGGACTGAAGAATTCTACACAATTCTATTTTAGTAAATATTAACAAGTTTTTAGTTTTAATAATATAACAAGACAATTAAAATGTACTACATTAAAAATGCAAAGGTGATCCAGCTGATTTAACTGACACTCTATCCAGCTAATTTTAATGATCGAGACATTTAAAACTTAGTGCTACATACTATATCTATACATTTACTGAATTAAATTGAAATGTATTTTTGATCAATATATGTAATTCAACCCACACAATATGGTATGTATTTCAGTACAGAGCGGTCAGCTTTGTCAGCATGCCAAGGTTTTATTGAGGCTGTGTGATTAATGGCTGATTTTCCCCTCCCTGTAACACGTTTCAGATAGGGATGTAAGTGTCTACCCTAAACAAACACCAGGTAAATGTCACAACTTTCTAATTCAATGGGACATTTTTCACTATAAATCTTAGGACTAGTTACTGTATGGTCAGATTGGGTTTGGTTAAAGCTGAAACGCTGCTGTTCTTACTATCCAAAGAACATGTGTAACAGGACTTCGTATAGATACTTAAAGACTAGTGCTTTGATTGGGTGAGAAGTTGAAACTATTGAAGACTGCGAATTCATAGAATGAATCATTATTCTGACTTGGTGAATCAAATATTTCTATTCAACGACAACAATCCTTTGGAATTAACCTCCAAGGGATATGCAAATTTAACTAGACCACTGTTTTGCGAGATACGTGTATAGGAAAAACTGAAAACGGCGATTACAACGGATGTCCTATTGAGACACTTGTGAATGTTTTGTTGGTAAATGAATGTTTTGGTATAAACACTAACTTTGTGAAACAAAGTCTTCAGATCTCCAGGATGTTATTTAATGTTTTGTCAGACAAGGGATGTCCACGTTGACAAACTGTTCCTCTGACAGGTGATGACACTTACAGGCTTAGGACCTTTGTACCAAGTACGTGTAGTAGCTAAGAAAGGCTATGACAGATAATGGTGATCGTCTCTCACAAAACATGACATCACAGATATGCGAAACTTTTTTGCCAATACTAGGATATCAGCTTTGTAATTATATACTGACACGTCTCTGACAAATCAGACAAGTGACAACACCTGGGTATTTTTACCCGGTATTTCTGAGTTTGGTATGAACGATTAATCAGTGACCTCGGATCATCAACAGCACCTCAGAATCTACATATAAAAGATATCATTCCAGAAGTCTCCACTGACAGAGTGACTTCTAGAGAAGTAATTGTGGGATCTATTTACTTTATACGGAACCATAAACTATTCTGACAATTTGATAGAGACTGTACTCTATTGATAAACGCTCAATACGTGTGTCGTCGTATTTATACTGTCGGATTAATCCGTTTCCCACGGAGACAATCAGGATGATGTGTTTGATCCAGGATCCTGATGATTGATGAACATTCTGGAATAATGTGTATTGTTACGTAATTTTTGACATCAGTGAACTTCCATAACAAATACTACCACCAGGAAACTTTGCAGCAATATCGGAAGTACAGTTCCCATTTAAAACCGATATAAGATTAACGCTACCATGGAGATTACAGATGTTCAGATAAACCGGCAACTTTTTAGACACATTTTGATTAGTATTGTCTTTGTGTTACAATGCTGGAGTGATGTCCTGGCCGTGCCATGTAATTCAATATGCACTACATGTGACAGAGATTCCGCAGGGCATGTTGTCAAGGTCGTGTGTACCGGGGTTGATATTCCCTCAATCCCAGACTCTGTACAAGAGATGTACCTTTCTGACGGCACAGTGAGTAGGCCGGGTATTTTCAAGGATTACGTGTTTATCGGTAAGACAGATTTGCATGTAATACATATGAAAAAATATGGTATAAAGATGGTGTGGGAATCACCCTTCATCAATCTGACGGACCTCATCGAGGTCGACCTCAGTTATAACGATATCCAAGACTTTGACAAGTCCAATCTAGCTGGGCCAGTAGCCTTACGGGTGTTAAAGCTGAGCCACAATAAGATACAACAGATCAATGATGATGCGTTTGTTAATCAGACATCTCTTAAGGAACTTTACATGTCCGTGAACAAAGTGACACAGATTCCAGCCAATGCTTTCCGTGGCCTTCGGAGTCTGGAGCACCTTGACCTGTCGTACAACCTTCTGACTACAATAAGCAGCCAGGCGTTCCATGATTGTTCCGCGCTACGGATACTGTCACTGCGGGGGAACCGACTAGACACTGTGGCCCCACACCTGTTCCAGGGCCTCAGTCACCTACAATCCGTGAACCTTCAGAGGAACCGTCTCTTCTCTATTGGCCAGGACGCCTTTGTTGGAACCAACATCACATTTCTTGACATGTCACGCAACCGATTACATGACGTACGGTCAACCATGGCAGTTTTGAAAACTGTATCTGGTGAGAATGTTGAAGTTGTTTTAACTGCTAATCTTTTAAACGTGAGCTATGGACCTGGAGTATTATCAGGTGTGACAGTCAAACTGTTAGATCTCCAGTACAATGGTATAACAACGTTTCCACAAGACACATTTGCAAATAATCACATTCGTAATTTGAAGTTAGCACACAACAACTTGAAATCCTTACCATCCAGCATGGAAGCCTATTTGGCAGCTGTAAAACCTAACATCACACTAGATCATAACCCCTGGCAGTGTGACTGTAGACTACTGTGGTTCTCTAAATATCTCAACCAGTTATCTCCTCCTGATCTGGGGACAAGACTACAGAGTACACTGCAGTGTAGCGCGCCCAGCACCCTACAAAATATCCTTATACAAAACATCGCTACGATTATAGAATCGGGATGCAAAACTACCATAGTGACAGCTACAGGTAATTATACATCCCCAGTAGCAAACATCACAGCGACCAGACCTACACCTGCAGTAAGTCTACCTGTACAATCCTCACCTGGAGCAGGTAAACCTGGACTGGGACCAATTAGTGCACCAAGTGTTCCTGTGACTTGGACAACTTGGAAAATGGTTACATCACCAGGAGGCAGCCAAACTGTGTCTGGAGCTGGTAGCTCAGTACCTACAGGGCTGCCACAGGTACCAGGTGGCATCATATCTACAGGGCTGCCACAAGCACCTGGTAGCATCATACCTACAGGGCTGCCACAGGTACCAGGTGGCACAACATCTTCAGGTCTGCCACAAGTTCTGGGTGGCATGAAACCTACAGGGTTGCCAGGTGGCACTACAACTACAGCGCTGCCACAAGTACCAGGTGGCATGAAACCTACAGCGCTGCCACAAGTACCAGGTGGCATGAAACCTATAGGACTGCCACAGGTTCCCGGTGGCATTTCAACTACAGGGATGACACAGGTACCCAATAGTACCCTAACTACTGGGCTGACCCCAGGTGGCACTTCACCTGTAGGACTTAACAGTGGAAACAGCCAAGGTGAATCTCAAAGAACAACTCAAAGCTCAGATAACTCCTTTCCGATTGGTGCTGTTGTGGGACCGCTTGCGGCATTGTGTCTGATAGGTGGTGCTATAGGGTGGTTCCTGTACAGGAAAAAGTCCAAAGGGACCAATGGGAGAGTGAACAGTAACCAGCCCCATGAACCAGAGGAAACGGATTATCTGTGGGGTAAACATCAGCCCATAACAAGGTCGCTTGGTCCGTCTAAAACATACTTCAACTCAAACTCCTTAAACAGCTTCTATTCTTATCAAGGTAACAGCATGTAAAATTTTATCAATTTTAAACATTTCTTTTTATATAGTTTTGACATCTGTGTCAAAAAGAAATCCAATACTTTTTTCAAAAACAATTTTTTATTATCAACAAGATATAGAAAGCAGGTAATAAGGAATTTCATAATCCATTAAATTGATGAATAACATTGTCGATATTTTCTGTATGGATTAAATAAAATAATCAAACTGAAACCATGCATGTGTTCATGTCTTCATTTGTATAAAACTAAACATTTGTATGTATGTATATGTGTTGCTTTATGATTGACTGGCTTTTATAAAATGACACCTCTGAAATGCTGAGTTAAATTTTAACAAAATTGAAATGCTGTGTTAAATTTTCATAACACCACTTGGTTGTAGTTTAAGAGAGTTACTTACCTCTGTTTATAGTCCTGACAGAGTTACTTATCTCTGTTTGTAATCCTGACAGAGTTACTTCCCCCTGTTTGTAGTTGGACATAGTTACTTACCACTGTTTGTAGTCCTGAGAGAGTAACTTACCCCTGTTTGTAGTTGGACAAAGTTACTTACCACTGTTTGTAGTTCTAAAAGAGTAACTTACCCCTGTGTGTAGTCCTGACAGAGTTACTTACCACTGTCTATAGTTCTAAAAGAGCAACTTACCCCTGTGTGTAGTCCTGACAGAGTTACTTACCACTGTCTGTAGTTCTAAAAGAGTAACTTACCCCTGTGTGTAGTCCTGACAGAGTTACTTAGGCCAAATACAATTATTTACTTGGTTCTCAGGCCAATTTTTTTCAAAATAGATGCGGCAGGGCGGGTTTTTTTTCATTTTACATGGCAAAAACGAGACGCGGGCGATTTTTTTTTATTGTGTAGTTTGTCAATCGTTCATTGTGGACATTACCTTGTCTTTTTATAGTTGTGTAGAGACCCGTCATAGAGCAAGCCTCCGAAAATCCCCCAACGATGTTCCAGACGAAAATCACGAACCCCCCATTCCTTATTTGTACAGAAATGAGCGCCATTTGAACACAAGACTAATAAGTCATAATCATTTTAATGCTTGCCTGTATCTCAATCCTTACCTTTATTAAAACGTTTTCGGGACTTAGATGACTAACGAGTAAAAACAACATGCGGACCAATTTTCTGGATTTTTTTTTAAAGATGGCGGCTGGTGCATTCACGATTTTTTTTTATTACTTTCACGATAAAATCGCCAATGCGCATGGTGCCATGAAATGCGCCCGGGCCTGAAAACCAAGTAATCTTTTTTTTTGGCCTTACCACTGTGTGTAGTCCTGCCAGAGTTTTTTACCCCTGCGTGTAGTCCTGACAGAGTTACTTCCCCCTGTTTGTAGTTGGACAAAGTTACTTCCCCCTGTTTGTAGTTGGACAGAGTTACTTACAGCTGTTTAAAGTTGGACAGAGTTATTTACCCCTATGTGTAGTCCTGACAGAGTTACTTCCCCCTGTTTGTAGTTGGACAGAGTTACTTTAATACCACTGTTTGCAGTCCTGAGAGAGTAACTTACGCCATGGTTTATACAAACTTTTGACCTCAAAAATTTAAGGACTTTTCAAGGGGTTTTCAAGACAAATTTTGAAAATTCAAGGGCTCATTTATATCGCAAAATAAACAAACAATTTTAATGAACAATATGCCCTTGAGGGGCTCGGATTGAAGGAAAGTCATCAGCATCCGTGTTTGGATTTGGATTAGGAACAGTCAAGGTAGGTCTCGATGTACTTGCCGTTGAAGTAGAGGGTTTGATAAAAAAGTCTGTCAAAGGCCGAGTTGAAGCGGTCCCCAAAATTTTCACATGTTTTTGACTTTTCATATGTGATGTAAGAGCCTATTCCCCATCTTGCCCAGATTGATAAATTTGTTACACAGGGAGCACAAAGCATAAGATAAGTCCTATCACCCTTGAACTCCCTCACCAAAAAAAATCTGGGATCGTCAAGCCATTTGCGATTGAAAACACACAAGTTTCCCCATCGCAGTTGTTGCGTTTGTGTTCCCCTCCTGTTAACAATACTCTTAATGCGCATGACCGTATGTCACTTTGGCGCTCTGACTACGAGTCTTACTCAATTCAAATGCAGTAATGATAGGTATTGAAAAAGTAAAACTGGAAACTTCATCGGTATATATTTTCCGGAATTATTAAAAATTACGATCTGCAATTTGACAATCAATCTGTTAAAAATAATTATTGTTTGCGATGAATGTTAACAAAATACTGAATTAACAGGACAGAAACGGATACCCAACTAACGTCACAGATTTTCAAGGGTTTTTCAAGGACTCCCATTGATTTTCAAGGGTTTTTCAAGACAGAAATCAAATTCAAGGGTTTATCAAGACCTGTGCAAACCAATGTTACCCCTGTGGGTAGTCCTGACAGAATTACTTACCCCTGTTTGGGTGTCACAGCGAGTCTGTGTCAGGATGATGTTGAACACAGCATGTGAGCGACTACTTTCGTTGTTCATGTTGGTGGCGGCCACTGTTCGTGACTTGTTGCCTTCATTCATTAAATTGTCTATATCCTGTAAAACAGTTGATGATGTTTATAAAAGTTTAGCTCTGAGAAATCAGGTTTTCTGATCAAATGTATTCATTATTAGATAAGCAGATAAAAAGTCTGGTTTATACAGGTGTCTGTATCATACAGTTCTAAATTGATACTGATTACTTTGTATTGAAGTTCTGTTTTATGCAGGTGTCTGTATTATAGATGGTTTAGTTGATAATGTTTACAAAACTGCTTATGGTAATCCCCAAAACAATGAAAAGTAACAGAAAGTTAAAATTATTTTTAACTAAAATATCTTAATCATACTTGTTTAAAATTACTGTTATGATAAGTGTATATTGATCTATTATATTTGGCAACCATTCAACTAAAGACAATTTAATATTAATACCATTTGGTCTGACAAATTGGCTTCAAGGCTGTGGTAAGGGAAGTAACTCTCGGATAAATTTCAAATTTCCACCTGCAGATTTTACAACTAACAAGTTCCTTGTTTGACAACCGATCAGTCGAGTGTTACTTACCTCAAAGGAAGCCACAGCCAGCATCGACAGACCATCCACATAGGGACCAAGTATATTGTGTTCTCGCACCTTCAGGTTCTGTTTACTTCTGTAGATTATAAAAGTTTATAAAAGCAATGATAGATATTGAAATGATTAGAGAAAAATAAAATAACAATAATTCCCCTTAAAACACAAAATCTTTATTCCTAATAAATCATCACCGAAAATTTGCTTTCAGTTTTGAAAACTGAAAACTTTTTTGATATATCATTTTATGTAGTTATGAGTCATCCAATCATATTCAAGCGATCATACTTTTTATTTATATAAATACTTAGACGTCAAATAGTCAATGTTCTCCAGAAAACAAACCCTTTGGGATCAAGCAATCATATTATTTAGTTATACAAACCCTTGGGGATCCACCAATTATATTATTTAGTTATACAAACCCTTGGGATCCACCAATCATATTATTTAGTTATACAAACCCTTTGGGATCCAGCAATCATATTATTTATACAAACCCTTGGGATCCACCAATCATATTATTTAGTTATACAAACCCTTTGGGATCCAGCAAACATATTATTTAGTTATACAAACCCTTTGGGATCCAGCAGGTCGTGAACTTTTTCATTGTAAATCTCCATGTATGATACTTCCACTTTGAAGCCGAGGTCAGGAGAGTCTTTCTGGGCGATCCTCTCAAACAGGGCATCACATATACGGGGGATGATCCCCTTACCATCTTCCTTAAAAGTTCCCATCATGGAATAGGACTTTCCCGACCCTAAAGGGATAGCAATATCATGTATAAATATATAGATATCTGCCAATATTTTCACTTGGAGTATTCTCCATAACATATGCATAGCTGCAGCAACCTGTAGTTTTTTTCTGGCCCAGAGTTACTTCCCTTGTCAAGGTATTCATCTCTAAATGTTCAATGTTTTTTGTCTTACAGCCCATATATAAGGCTTTCATTTTGATGCTGTGCATTTATGTTTCTGGACTGTAACAACAGTTAGGTGTAGGAAATTTACATTTCTAGACTGTAACAACAGATAGGTTTAGGAAAATTACATTTCTGGACTGTAACAACAGTTAGATGTAGGAAATTTACATTTCTGGACTGTAACAACAGTTAGGTGTAGGAAATTTACATTTCTGGACTGTAACAACAGTTAGTTGTAGCTAAGGCAGTGTATTTAAAATGTTTGTGTTTGACCGCTTTAGATTAAGATTTTTGTGTTTTATGTTTATTTTCAAACACACAAATTTCAAACAACTATAATTCTGTTAAATACATTGTATAATGTAGTTTGATTGATATAGTTTTGTAGAAAAGGACTTCAACAAATACTTTGTAGATCTGCACTAAATGGTATGCCTTATCTTGAAAGATTTTTTGTACATTTCAGGTTATAGGAGAAATAAAACTTCTAACTTCTAATGATCATTCACCATTTATATACAATCTAGGGAGTTAAGTTTCAAACACACCCGGTAACAAACAAGCTTCAGTAATCAAATTCTAACAATGAATTAACTCCCATGAGTATATAGGAGTAATCGTTGTGACCAATATATCAATATATATACAGAAGTTTATTATTACTTGTTTAAAGTATAAGTTCAGTTGTCGTGTGAACACTTGGGTTCAAAATGATAAACCCAATATACCGCCAAACACGTTATACAGCCAAAATCACAGAGGACAGAAGGTGGCGGTATAACAAGGTTTTACTGTATCTACTATAAATAAATTGACCAAAAATATACCTAAGCTTATGTTTGGGGTTTAAACATGACGGGAAATGAGAGTTAGGTACATTTAATTTCCTTTCTGAGAGTGTATGATTTAAAGGATTTGTGGTTGAAGAAAACAAAAGTTTCAGGAGGAAATCAATTTTTGACTGTCTCACATTGATAAGGAGAACAATTACTGCCCACCAGGCATACACTCAAATGGACCACATCTGGTCACTTTTTAAACACAATTACTCGTCCATAAAATCGATTTTACATGAGTGACAACTTAATGGAGACTCATAAATATGTAAATCTGAAGTATGTAGCTTTTACCATAGTCAGCAACAGAAGTCACACTATTCAAATAATTGACAAAATGATGGGAGTTACTGCCCCTTAGCCAACAGAATTGATCCTCTGGAGCAGACTCCTCCGAGTTCATGTAGAGTTCAGTCATTAATTTTAGCCAGTAATATGTTTTTATGACCAAGCTATATAACTATATTTGTTCTCATATTCCTGTTTTATGTCCGCAGACAAGTTGTTACAGCAAGCTGTGTGTTGTTTCCTGTATCGACCCGTGGGAGTCGTACTATGTTCCCCTAACCTTATATTCACCCATATCATCACAGATTGTTTGCTAGGCAACCAATTAAACGCTTGAAATACCAAAAATAGTTTGCTCAGTTGTTTGTTATCACAAGTAATACCTGTTACATTTGTTAAATTAAAGGTAAGATCGTACAGAAACGTGTTACTGACCTTTAATATCACATTTATACTTCGTAGCCCGAGTTTCCTCTGGCCCCACACCAGACATCTATATGTAAAAAATGTCTAAGTCTGGTGTTAGGGGAAACTCAGACTAATTACTTAGATACAGTATTACATATCAATAGGTGGTAGACTTTTATGTCATATACTCTAGAAGTGGACATTTTTTCACATTGATGAAATTAGTGCAAAAATATGCAAATGCAAAAACCTATCTCCAGAAAATATATAGAGTTAAGACATACAGTAAAACCTTGTTATACTGCCATTATTTGTCCAGAGAAATTTTGGCAGTTTAAATGTGTTTTAGGGAAATGAATAAAATAATTCTTTAGAAAAAGAGAAAAAGGAAACTTGAAATACGTTGGCAGTAAACGAGGTTGCAAATGAAAGTGGGGTATTATATTGAGGTTTCGTGGGGTATTGTATTAAGGTTAAGTGGGGTATTATATTGAGGTTTAATGGGGTATTATATTGAGGTTTAATGGGGTATTATATTGAGGTTTAGTGGGGTAATTTGTTGAGGTTTTACTGTACATAGTTTATAGGTTTCTAAATTCAGAACTATTGCCAACGTGAGTACTTCCACACCGCCATCACTTTAAATGATCACACAGCGAACTTTTTCGCACGCGAGAATTTCCACTTTACAGTATTGTGTTACTTTGAATAGGACATCAACATGTAATTGGCTTAGGTATGGTCGGTAAATATATCACACAAGGTGTTGCATGGTGGGACATTTCTGGGGTATGGCTGTTAATTATTTGGTCAATTGATGAAGTAAATTAGGACAAGAATATGTGAGAGCTTTCAATTCTGTTGTCACCAAGTAGACGAGATGTACCTGTTTGTCCATAGGCAAATATACAGCCGTTGTACCCATCAAAGGCCTGCCGTAGTACATCCTGACCAAGGCAGTTAAAAACGTGTTCTTGACCTGAAAGAAAATTTAAAATATTCATATTTTACAATAAAACACACTATGCAATATCTCTGGTAATATAGAATTCGAATGACATTTGAAAGATTTTAAATTCATTATTAACCCTTAACTAATTCACCCTTGAAGTCACATTTGAACTCTTACAATTCAAAGTCTGGACTATTTTAGGGGTGAATGAGTAAATGATCCCTGACCTACTGCAGGCAAAACATAAGAGAACTCCACTGTAGCTGTTCATATATACAGTTACCTCCCCTTAATTTCGTTTTTGATAAAATTGTAGTGCAATTAGGCTTGGGCACTATTGACCTGGTAGCTCAGTCAGTTAAAGAGACAGGATAACAACCGGAGGTCCAGGGTTCAAATCTTGTTCTGGCCCTGTTGAACTTACATTCAGAATAGTGTTCTTTCCAGAAAACCAGTTTCCATAGGTACAGTTTTTGACAATGGTACAGGCATCCTTAAGTGATAATTATGTTTAATATACTCATTTATTTAAAAATATGATTTTAATCTTATTCAAACATATACATACAATGCAGTGTTTTTTTGCATAATTGATTATCATATTTCCCACATTGCTATTTATTTCATACATTGTGTGACACAAAGCTTATCTTTATAAACATGTTTCACTCAGACCTGTATATATATATATACTGGTTAACACAACCGACACAAAACTGTCATCACAATTCTTTGATCATGTGACAATGTAAACAGCGCTATCTCTACAGGATGACACACCAAACTTTTCATTATAAAGTAATTTCATAATGGAGGCAATAATCATTAATACAATTTATTTAAATGGAAAAAACAAAAACAAATTCTGCTCTTCAATCTATTATTGTGATCTAATTCTCTTCAGATTATTCTAAAACAAATTTTCAGGAAAACCAAAATCAATTTCTGATTATACAAAATCTGTTTTGAAATCGAGATAAAAACTGCTGATAGAATTGAATGCTATAGGATTTACAGCTTTCCTCACTCTCACTCTCTCGACCTTGGCAATTAATTGATGAAGGTCACCGGTGTGGATTGGTCTGGCCGCAGGAAATCCCATGATGCCACATTTATGACGGGAGTCCAGACATGATCTCATACCTGTGTGCTAACACTGATGATCTGTCACACAAATAATCAGCGAGATATTGCTAAATTTCAATCTTGGGATGACTGGGAGTCGCTTAAACCCAATTGATTTAGTTTTTAGTGTTGTTTTATGTGGTGTGTATAGACCGCCCGGTGATAGTGTATTACATAACACCCGAACCACTCTCATTTCCATTTCCGTCCCGTGATTAAAAGTAGATTACCTCACCATCACACTTTACGTACGATCAGCCTGACCTGACGCCCAGGGAAATTTCCTCTTTTAATCAATCAATATATTCTGTTTCAAATTAATTTTTATCAGTATTGAAAATATTTTTTTAATTTTGAAAAGCTATTTCTTGTACCTCTAATGAAATGAAATGAAGTATTTGTAAGTCAAATAAACTGGGTAGACGAAGGATTCCGTCAGCATCCATTATTCAGAGCACGAACTATAAATCAGTTATTTTACTGATGTTTCTTATTTTATCAAGAGACGTCCCTTAAACGATTTATAATCTAGGGTTGGATATTAGCAAATATTGAACAATAACCTGAACCAATACATTTGTTTCTTCCTTGTATAATTGTGTCTCAGATACTGAATAGTGATATCAATAGCAGTTTACTATTCCGCTTCAAACCTACCTGTACATCTGTCATTTACAGACAATTGCCATTAGTCTACTTTATTGTTCATTCATGTACATGCACACTTACCTGCAAATTTTGGATTATTTTCGTCCATAGACCAAAAACAGTGATCGAATGCAAATGTCTGAAATGGAAAAGATTAACATTTTTATTATTTTTATTGCAACTGTTATATACCCAACAAAACAGTGTCTTAAATGCCACAGTTATCTCCCTTGCTATGAAATAAATCAGTTATTTACCTCACCATGACATCACTTATCTCCCTTGCAATGACACTTGATCATTATCTACCCAGGGTACGGTCCCTACTAAGACATCAGATTTGTCTACTTACCCATGACACTAGACAGATATTGTTATTTACTTTACCATTACATGAGACAGACAGAGTTATCTACCTTGGGTGCCTTCCTGCCACCAGCCCCACTTCCTCGCTCTCCTCCACCATCATGGGGGCTGTAACAAAGAAGTAAAGAAAATTACACCAATGTTAAGTCTCCCCTGACAAGATTTCTGTAAACCACATACTGATGTCTAATACTGACCTTTAGGATACTGTTACACTGTTTTTTTCCTACAGGTATTATATGTACACTGAGTGATTGCTAGTTTTTTGCCAAGGTTGATATGTAGCCTTTGTCACGACTCGTTTTAAATGCAAGACTGAATGTCTACCATGATGTTCCTTCAGTCATTCTATCAAGGTGTCTTTATATTGGTTTTAAATGTAATTTTGGTCTTTGATTCAAAATCTGGTTTTTTGTGTGTACAGATAATTAACAATTCAACAATGATACCCTTGGTTAGGTCTGTGATTGGTAAAGGACACAATGTAACAGAAACCAAAAAACAGGTTTTAAACAAAAGACCAAATGGACCTGTATTTCTCACCAATTACTTAATGATGATGTACGTGATTGTGCCACCGAAAGCTATGGTGGTCCTATTTGAATCCATCATTTATTTTAACTCATTCAACCCTAAAATTTTATAATGAACTATTCCAACCTTTGAATTGGAGGAGTTCAAATGTGCCTTCAGGGATGAATGAGTTAACAAACTTGATAACCTTATCTCCTATAAACAACATGTCAAACACCATCATTACAGATCTCATGGTTCATTAGAAAGTATTTAGACATTCCAAGTAAATGTTTGAATATTTTAATATATTTGACCCCTGTGACCTTTGGATGTAAGTCAAGGATATTTATTACAGACCTTATTCCACAGGTTCAATGCTCGTGGAAGCCATATATATTTCATAAGTTTGGTTAATCTTTCTTCATAAATGCTTCCTGTGAAATTTTACTGAAATCAGCAGTGGCTGAACATAGTATATTTTTTTTCGAATGAAAGACACTGGACAAAAGGTGATGACAATAGTTCACAAGGACATTTCATGGGTTTAATAAACCATACAATGTATAAACCATACAATGTATGAACAATACAATGTATAAACCATACAGTGTATAAACCATACAGTGTATAAACCATACAATGTATAAACCATACAATGTATAAACCATACAGTGTATAAACCATACAATGTATAAACCATACAATGTATAAACCATACAATGCATAAACCATACAGTTTATATAAACCATACAATGTATAAACCATACAGTGTATGAACAATACAATGTATGAACCATACAGTGTATGAACAATACAATGAATCTGATTGAAGGTCTGGTTTACACAGGTAATACAGAATGTAATTAATTAAAGGTATTGTTGATTTTAACAGACTTCTAGAATATAACATTCAGATTACACTGGTTACCATAACACAGATGACATACTGGGAAACATGTGACTGTTTGATATTTCGTTAACTCATTCACCCCTGAAGACACATTTGAACTCTTCCAATTCAAATGTTAGACTAGTTCAATATGGAATTTCAGGGGTGAATGAGTTAATACTTAGTTAAGGTTGTAAAACCTATAAAGTGATCATCTCTCTGATTTGACATTTCTGTAGGTTCCTTTCAAATACAACTTGAGATTTGTTTGACAAAGGGATTGAGCTATTACGGACTCGAACAAATGTTTTTTCTGGTCTTTTGAGAGAAAAGCCTAAATGTCACACACAAATGCTGTACTGGAATCATGATGGCATCAATCTTCCTAGAATCGTGAGAAAGTTAGTTTTAAGAATACTCGAGTTGTCTTATGAGGATATAGATTAGCAGCTACAAAAAGATTCTGATCCTCCATTCGTCCCTGAGGAGTTGTTCTCATCCAATTTGGAGCCACAGTTCCTCGTCTGTGATGACAAACTCAACACACAAAATATTTGAGAATTGCTAAAGTCATTCTGCTAGCCGTTAGAATCACTACAGTCGGAAGTTCCACGTGCTGTTGGAAGTATTTGATTTGGGCATTCCCGTTTATGAGGTTTTGTGTCTTCCCCTGGCGAGTGTTATTGGTTTAGGGGCGGAGATCGTGATGTCACTGCAGTTATACGAAAACCATTGACTTCTGTAAATAGTTTAATTTCTGTCATTTGTGAATGTCAGCGTGTGCATGTTAATTAAGTAAGGAACCTACAGAACTGTGACAGGGTTAGAAAGACAAGTCAAATTAGGGTACTCAACTGATCACATGGGGCAAGGATTTAATTAAGTTTTTTCCTTTTGAAACTCTGCTGTCTTCTCAAATATTTCCTTACATGAAATGTAACTGTAAGTATTCTGATCACAAAATTGTGGACATTTAGGTTAAACGATAGATTTTCTTTTCTTGGAAAATTGAAATTCTTGTGAATATTGTAACGATTTTCATTGTAAATAGTGTCAAAATTGCCAAACCAGCTTCAGGCTCTAAGAAGGAATGTTCCGTTAGCTAAGTGGTAGAACGTCTGACTAGAAATCCTTGGGTCAATGGTTCAATCCAATATTCTTTGCACTACTTCCTTCCCATTAAATATCATCAGATATCATCACCCTACCAGACTTCAGTATGAATATAAAGTCCTTCATTTCTCCTTATATTGAAGTTGCTATAATGACTAGACATAAGGTTGGAAAATGTTTATTTCACCCACAAAATAATCAAATTCCAGATGCCAAAAGACGAAATTCAATTTTGAAAAACTTTCGAATATTTTTTGAATTAGCCTTGGGTGAAGCTCCGACTGAATAAGTAAACAGAGTTTTAAGCTCCACAAATTGTATTGATTCTACTTGTTCTATGGACTTGACAGCCTCTTAAGCTGGACTCCATCCGTGGCTACAATCAGGGGAGATAATTAGGATGTCTTGTGTGACAGTGTCTGGGGCATATAATCAACTCGGTTCTGATCAGCCTCCGTACTTAATGCCTGCTGTGTAAATAGTGATCATGTACCAGGTCTTGACACTGTTTAGAGTTTGTATTAATCCATATACCAGACAGTATACATACTTCAGGGCTACCAAACTCTTATACTTGTTATATAAGGTTGTGCAAACTCTATGGAATGGCTTCCCAGCTAGATTACTCCCTCAGGAAATACTCTTAACTTATTCACCCCTGAAATTTCATAATAAACTATTCTGTCCTTTGAATTGGAAGAGTTTAAATGTGTCTTCAGGGGTGAATGAGTTGAAGACAAAAGTTGACAGACAGAACCCCCCCTTTCCCCACACCCTCAACTTCATTCACATCAAACCTGTAATAAATCCTTGAATGTGATTATCCTTTGACGGACCAAACCAAAAGACTTTTTTTTGCTCTATCAAAACATTTAATGATTAATACTTCTGATATTACAATGTTCCTACATAAAGCTTGTTGGTATTGTTGATTTTTGTGATACCAAATACCAGGAAATGTTCGTCGAGTCAAACTTTCACCCTTTGCCAGTGTTAAGTATTTTACCTGGCTCTCCAGTCTGGCTCTCCGGTCTGGATCACCATGATGATGTCACAGATATTGTGACATCACATAGACCAGGAGCACAGATCAACAGTACAGCTATTGTGACATCATATAGACCAGGAGCACAGATCAACAGTACAGCTATTGTGACATCACATAGACCAGGAGCACAGGTCACCAGTACAGCTATTGTGACATCACATAGACCAGGAGGAAAATATCACCTGTCATACCAGCAGTTACTGATTTCATAGTGCTTTCGTACTTCTATTTATTTTCTTGCTTTTCAGTCTTAAAGGTAAGCAAGAAATGCCATCTATCCCTTGGAAAGTAAATAGATATTCAAACTCCTGGGATGACAAATGGAAGAAAGTACATGGAAACCTTTGTTTTTCATCAACATTTCATCCTCAGGTTTGAATCATCACGCTTGTTACCCCCATCCAGATTGTCAAAAGGGACAGATTCTAATAGAGATGTGACATTGCTGTGATACAATGTGACATTGCTGTGGTACAATGTTATACAATGTGACATTACTGTGATACAATGTGACATTACTGTGGTACAATGTTATACAATGTGACATTACTGTGATACAATGTGACATTGCTGTGGTACAATGTTATACAATGTGACATTACTGTGATACAATGTGACATTGCTGTGGTACAATGTTATACAATGTGACATTACTGTGGAACAACATTATACAATGTGACATTACTGTGGTGCAATGTTATACAATGTGACATTGCTGTGATACAATGTGACATTACTGTGGTACAACGTTATACAATGTGACATTACTGTGATACAATGTGACATTACTGTGGTACAATGTTATACAATGTGACATTACTGTGATACAATGTGACATTGCTGTGGTACAATGTTATACAATGTGACATTACTGTGATACAATGTGACATTGCTGTGGTACAATGTTATACAATGTGACATTACTGTGGTACATTATACAATGTGACATTACTGTGATACAATGTGACATTGCTGTGGTACAATGTAATACAATGTGACATTACTGTGGTACAACATTATACAATGTGACATTACTGTGGTGCAATGTTATACAATGTGACATTGCTGTGGTACAATGTGACATTACTGTGGTACAACGTTATACAATGTGACATTACTGTGATACAATGTGACATTACTGTGGTACAATGTTATACAATGTGACATTACTGTGGTACAACGTTATACAATGTGACATTAATGTGATACAATGTGACATTACTGTGGTACAATGTTATACAATGTGACATTACTGTGATACAATGTGACATTACTGTGGTACACTGTGATACAATGTGACATTACTGTGGTACAACGTTATACAATGTGACATTACTGTGATACAATGTGACATTACTGTGGTACAATGTTATACAATGTGACATTACTGTGGTACAACGTTATACAATGTGACATTACTGTGATACAATGTGACATTACTGTGGTACAATGTTATACAATGTGACATTACTGTGGTACAACGTTATACAATGTGACATTACTGTGATACAATGTGACATTACTGTGGTACAATGTTATAC